GTGGGTGCAGCCATCTTTGCAATGGTGTGAGGGTCAATTAGCATATGTTCCTCTTTATCAGATAGGATTTCTACAAATGAATTAAGCAGGAAGTTATACTAAACCAACTAAAACAGAAATGCTAGGTTTAAATTCTGACTTGAATGCTGGCCAAAATGATAAGAGAGCTCACACTGGGGACCACCCACAAGCAAGCAGAGAAATCCTATGAGTCCTTCTTTGGAAGAGTATGAACACTTAACTCCCAGGACACATGTGAGGTTTAGTGATATGAAGTCCTTTGTCGCTGTTACAGAACTTTAAATTCATATACTTCATTTGTTATAACCAAACCATCCTACATACTTCATACAATCATGACCTTTGAAAAGAGGCGTGAATTAAGTTCTTAAAAATAAAGGTACTCTAACTGAAAAAGTCATATAAAATTCCCTTTGTGTTACTTCTTGTAAACTATCATTCATTGAATTCTGCAATGTAATTTTTTTTCTTCTTTGAAGCAACTTGCACGCTTAACATTTTTTTTAGTCTTCTTGGGGTGATTTTCTTTTCTCCACAAAAAAACAATTAAGGACGTTGTACCAATTTACTCTTACTTCCTTCCTGTTCATTGAGTTTAAAGTGGGTATAGGCGAGAATGCCAAATAATGTACATAACATGCCAAGACACTGATTAACTGACAGCGGATCCTTAAATAAAACATAGCCTCCAAATAAAGTGATGCAGAACTTGAAGTGTCCAAACATGTTGTAGCTGAGATTTTTGGATAAGGATAAAAAGGAATAACAGGCTAGGTGCTATATTCACACACACACACACACACACACACACACACACACACACGGGCAAGGGCTTCCTGTGGCTGGAAAGAACTGCTTGACACACAGCCTGAGCAGCTAGCTGTCCACCCTGCCCCTCGTCTAAAGAACAACAGGAGCTTCAGTGAAGTGCTGGGTCAATCCTAGTTCCACAGGTAGGTTTCAGCAATGAGCCAGTGACAGGAGACTGCGTCAGCTATTCCTGCTCACCTCTCCGAAGAGAGAAAAGGGGCTAAAACAGAAGGTTAGGAAAGGAATTCCGAGCAAGGTAGAGGGAAGACGTTTGTACAGCAATTTATGACTGTTTCGAAGTGCCATTTCTAATAATAACTTCCCTTGGCAAGTGAGGTGAGATGCAATGTGTAAGGCACCAGAGAGCTGCCTCAAGGCAAGCTCACCCTATGCTTATTTAGGAGGGTGTCGGGGGAGGGGAAGGAAGCAATACTGAGCCCCAATGACATGCCAGGCACTAAGCATCCTATGTGTTAGCTATAGTAATAGTTATCAGCAGCAGTATTTATGCATAATAAACACCTGCCAGGTGGTGCCTGACACATATTCTCTCAAACACGCAAACAACCAACCATCATTTCGTAGATATTACTTCCCCCATTTCATAAGTGACGGAGTGAGGTCCGAGAGCTCTCACACCTTGCCCAGGCCCACAGGTAGGGGCAGAGCCGGCGTGTGCACCTGATCTGCCTGACCTCAAAGCCTCGGCTCTTTGCGCTGTTCTGGGGCCGACGGAGCAGCCTGGAAGGTCCTCTCGGCAGGAACGTGCTGGCGTGTCACAGGGTTACCTGACCCAACAGAGGCGACTTCCTCAGAGACAGGATCTTCCCAAGGATCGTCATGAGAACATGAGAACTACGCTTATTTCCAATGAGGACCTATCTTCAAGTGCACTGCCGCCACCACGTTGGCATTCCTTTATCCCCCAGCCTCTTTTAAGTAGATCACGATGTGTTAAAGATATTTATACAAGAGGGAAGGCTAATTTACAGAAATTCTTCAGTGAATCCTTTTGTCAATAAAAAGAGGAGCAGCTATACTTGGTATTTACAATTCCTCTCTCTAATTTTCCACTCGTTAAACTTTCACTTCAGCACCCTGAAAGCTCTTCTCAAAACTGTAGGACCTCCGCCTTGCAAACCCCCTCCATGGATTACCAGTCTCGCTCGCACCTGACCTGTCGGTGGCATCCCTCCTCACTTGGTTTCTGCAGCACTCTCCTTCCTTTCCACCTCGGTCGCGCCTTCCCGGTCTCTTCCACCTGGCTCCTCTCATCCCTCTGAGCTCGAAACACTGAATGGCGCAGGATTCCATCTTTGGGCGTCTTTTCTTCTACTTGTTTGCTTGGCCTTCTCAACCAGTCTCACCACTTTAAACCACTGGCTCTCTCTGGACTCTCCCCAGCTAAGACCCTGAGCTTCCAGACTTGTTCACCCAAAACTGAGCATGTGCTCTTCCTCCCCACCCCCAAACCTCAGGGCTGTCCCATCCCAGCTGACGGCAACTCCATTCTACCATGTGCTCAGGACAAAACCAAAGGAGTCAACCTTGTTTTCCCTCATATTCTCCACATCCAATTTGTCAGAAAAACCTGTTGGTTCTACTTAAATATATCCAGCCCTGGCCGGTGTGGCTCAGTTGGTTGGGCGTCTTCCCGTGCACTGAAAGGTCACTGGTTCAATTCCCAGTCAGGGCACATGCCACGGTTGAGATTTCGATCCCTGGTAGGGGTTGTGCAGGAGGCAGTCGATTGATATTCTGTTCTCACATCAATGTTTCTCCCTCTTCTTTCCTCTCTAAGAAAAATCAATAACAATATTTTAAGAAATATCCAGAATCCAGTAACTTCTCACTGTAGCCACTGCTACCACCCTGGAACCAAACCACTGTTACTTCTAAATTAGAATATTGCAATGGCCTCGACAATTTCCTTTCCTGCCTTGCTTCACATAGTCCAGTGGTTTGGTTCAATGGTAGCAGTGGATATAGTGAGGGGTGGACTCTGCCACCTAGACAAGGTCTGATACATAACTGGGGACAGGGAGTGCTACTGGCACCTACAGAGGCCAGGGATCTTGCCAAACATTCTACGATGCATTGGACAGGCCCCTGCAACAAAGAATTGTCTGGCCAAAAAGGCCAATAGCACTGATTTGGGAAACCCTGCTTTACTCTATTCTTGACACGGTGGACCAGAGTGACCCTATTAGAACATAAGTAAAATCATGTCATTTCTCTGCTCGAAACTCCAGCGGCTTTCCTTCTCACTCAGGACGGTCCTTCTGTAAGAGCTCTGCCCCACCTGGCTCCCTCTCACCTCTCAGTCCTACAACACACCTCCCTCTGCACTTCCTGCTCCAACCACAAGGGCCCCCTTGTTGCTCCTTTGGGCTCCTCACCCACTGTTCCTTCACCTAAAATGTTATTCATCCTGATCTGCCTAGTAACCTCTTTCCCTTCAGGTCTTTACTCAAAAGTCCCCTTCTTACAGAGGCCTTCCTGACTTCTCCTAAAATTTCACTCTGTCCGCAACATTCCGTATCCTCATCCCTGCTTTATTTTTTCTCCCTGGCACTTAACACTATCTAACACAAATCTATATATTTTCTTTTGTGTTTTGTTGATAGTCTGTTTAAGCCCATGAGAGCAAAGATTTTTGTCTATGTCATTACATCTCCAGTGCCTGACATATAGTAGATATTCAATATGTAAACAGTAAGTCAATGAACAGTTTACAGTGGGTGTTCAATAGATGTTTGTTGAATGCATAAATGTTCTTATTAAGGGCACACACTTGGATGCCTTGACGTGGCAGCATGGTGCAGGAGTTTGGGGACCAGACTGCATGGTTTGAAATCTAGATGCAGCACTTCTCAGCTACACGACCTCGAGTTATTGACACTCTCTGCACCTCAACTTCCTCCTCTGCAAAA